TTTACTGCCTCGCTAGCCACTGCCACTACTGACGTGACCGCAACTGCTGTTACGACTACGTCGCGGTCTCGAGGTAGGGGTGGCAGGAGGGGCGGTCAGGGTGCAGGCGGCGGCGGTGGTGGCGGCGTTGGCGGCGGAGGTGGTGGGGGTGGCGTGCCGGCCGGTGGCGGTGGGAGCGCAGGGCCTGGAGAGGCGTCTCGTGCAGCGGCCAGTGACTCCCCTACTGCAGCTGGTGGAGGCGACACCCGGACTCGTCAGCCTCCTCCTGGTCTGCCGGCCGCGGTGGGTGGAGCAGCGGCGTGGTACCTGGCCCAGCGGCAGCAGCAGGTGCAGCAGCAGCAACCCCTCCCCTTGTAGCAGCCCCCTGCAGCAGCAGCGGCACCAGCAGGTTTCGGGGCTGGGACAGCGTCCGCCCCAGCGAGGTGTTGTTTACCCTTCGTGCACCTATCAGGTTATGATAGGTGCTCGCCGAGGCCAGCCTTGTGGTCGCACCCACCCTCCTGGTCAATGCTTTGCTCAGCTCACTGGCACGGTTCGCTTGGCCTTCGGCGTTGGCGGCCCTGCCCCTGACTGGTTACCTCTTGTTCAGACGTACGGCTCCGCTCTTTGGGGCATGTCTGCTTCTCAGTTGCTTGATCTCTTAGGAACTCCGCATGCTATGTATGCTGTTGTTGACTCTAGTGCTTCTGACTCTGTTTACTCGTGCGTTGTTAGCTTAGGCGCTAGTCTTGCTGAGTTGCCTGTTGCTAGTGTAGGCACTTGTGTAGACACTAGTACAGGCGCTACTTCCGAGGATGCTTCGCTGTCTTTCACTCTGGACTCTGGGGCTTCGCACTGCTTCTTCTGCGACCACACGACACTTCCTGCGCCAGTCTCTGTGGCCCTGGCTGATCCCACCTCGGGACCAGTCACTACTCGATACACTACTACTCTTCCTTGCCCTGCTGTTCCCTCTGGGTCTCTGACTGTCTTCCACGCCCCGTTGTTCTCGAGGAACTTGGTGGGCGTGAGGCCTCTTATGAGTCAGCACGTGGGTGCATGGATTGAGCCCTCTGGTGAGACGGCGGTTTGTGTTGACGGCGACACTTACTCGCCTCTTGCCACCTTTACTCCCGAGCCGGGCTCTGGTCTCTACACACTTCACACTAGCCCTGGTGGGCAGCAGCAGTAGCAGCAGTAGCAGCGGCAGCAATAGCAGCGGCAGCAGCAGCAGCAGCAGCAGCAGCAGCAGCGGCAGCAGCAGCAGCGGCAGCAGCAGTAGCGACTCCTGCCCCCGGCCCCGGTTACTTCCCCTAGTCTGGTCCCTGCGTCTCACCAGGTTGCTGCGTCCCCCCAGGTAGCTGTGTCTGGTCAGGTTCCCGTGTTTGGTCCAGTTGCTGCGTCGTGCTCCTGCCGGTCGCTTGCACACCCCACCGTTCTGTGGCACCTTTTGGACGGGGCACCCGTCCCTCCCTCGTCTGCGCGTTATGTCTCGTCAGCGTCTTGTCTTAGGCCTCCCGCGTGTCTTGCCATTGCTGCCGCCTTCGCTTGCACCGCCGTGTGGTCCCTGTGTCGAGGGTCGGCTGCGCGCCACCCCTCATTCCTCCCTTCGTCCGGCCACCGAGCCTTTTTAGACGCTCCACTTGGACGTCTGGGGCCCCGCCCTTCGCCTTGGCCCTGAGCGCGAGCGTTTCATTTTGGTGGTCGTTGACGACTACTCCCGCTACACCACAGTGTTACGGATGAGAGTATGGTCGCCATGGCTAGGAAGAGAGAAGGTAGCGAGAGAATTGGTACTAGGAAAGAGTGTCGAGATACAAATGTAGGAAACCCTAATTGAACTTAGGTTGTGTTCAGTTTGTGTTAGAAACTAAGAAATGACCCTAAACTGAACCGAAAGTGTAACTCGCTCTAAACATGGCAAAATAACAACATATTACTAGGATAAATGCCAGAGCGAGCTCTAGCCTACTCCAACACACCCCCGGGCTAGGTGAAGCTCTGGAACGAAACACCTAGCGAATGGGAACACCCCCATAAGTGGCGAGACGAGTGAGCCCAAGCGCGCGCACATAGAAACGGTGTGGCGCACGAAGAAGAGCCTTGGCGAAAATGTCAGCAAGGTTGGCAGTAGCGGCCACCTTGCGAAGGCAGAGGAAGCCAGACTGCACCAGCTCGCGCACGAAGAAGTAGCGGACCTCGATGTGTTTGCTGCGAGCATGATAGACATGATTTTGAGTGGGGATTTTGTGTTTGCTGCAGCACGATCACGACGGAACTCCATGCCGAGGTAATGACGAAGCTCGCCGAGATCCATGCACAGGAGTCGTGCCTGGAGGGCCTGCTTGACAGCGGCAAGGTCGGTAAAAATCTTCAGCGACGAGCACCAAGTCATCGACATAGGCAAGAATGTAAATCCTGCGAGGGGAAGTGCGAATGAAGAGACTGGGGTCGGAAGAGGAGGTGGAGAAGCCAAGAGAGTGAAGAGTGGAAGCGAGCTTGGCATGCCACTCGCGAGGGGCCTGCTTAAGACCATAGACAGGGCGCTTCAGCTCCCAGACAGTGCCTGGAGGGAACGGGCGAGGGAAGCCACCAGGGCGCTCAAGGAAGATGCGTTCATGTAGCTCGTCCTGTAGAAAGGCATTGGAGACGTCCATAGAGTGAATCTCCCAATCCCAGCGGGCGCCTTGATAGAGAAGGAGGCGAAGAGTGGGGAGACGGGCAGTGGGGGAGTAAGTGGCAAAGTAGTCAATACTTTGAAGGTAGGGAGCTCCCCAGGCAGCTGTTTGACATGAAAGACCCACTTGCCCTTGACAATGGTGGCGCCAGGGGGGGGGACAGAGTCAACGTAAGAGTGAGTCCTGGTGAATGCCTCACACTCGGAAATGTTGGCAGACATCCACTCAGTTGCATGAAAGCCAGACACTGCCTCGGAATAGGTCTGAGGAGTGGGAATAGCGGCAGTGTCAATGGAGAGAAGAGTGGGAGAATTGGAGAAGTCGCCAATAGTGACACAAAGGAGGGGTGAGACAGGATGAACAGAGAAAAGCTCCTCAAAGCGATCTTTGAGAAGATCGACGTTTGGAGAGGGAGAGAGACGAGTAAAGAGAGCAGAGTGTTGAAAATTGGACATTGCACAGGTCATGGAGCGGGTGAGACGGGGAGAAGGTGGAGGAGCAGGAGCTGAAGGAAGGGTAGCAGAAGGAGGTGATGAGGGAGAGGGTGGGGAAGCAAGAGCAAGAGGGAGAGAAGAAGGATGTTGTGAAGGAGAGGGCATGGGAGCAGAAGAGGAAGAGGCAGGACGAGAGGTGCCAGAGATGACAGCAGAGGGGGAGGTGGAGGGGGCAAGGAGGGGAGGCGGAGCAAGGGCAGGAGGAAGGGGAGAAGGAGAGGGAGGAGCAGAGGGCAGCGGATCAAAGTCAGACCAACGAAGAGAGAGAGGAGGAGGGGTGGGAGGGGGGGTGACGAATGGAGAACGAGTCTCATCAAAGATAACATCCTGGCTGCGAATGAGCTGCTGAGAGGAGGGAGCATAGAAAAGGTAGCCAGGGCAGTCAGCGTTGATACCAATGAACGCAGAGAGCTGCGTCTTGGGAGCGAGCTTCCCACCCTGACGTGCTCGATCGGCGGGATTGATGAGGACATGAGCGACACAGCCCCACACCCGAAGAGGGCGGGCGGAGGGTTGGCGGCTAGTCCAGAGATGGAAGGGTGTAATGGAAGGGCGAAGGGGATGAGGGCGAAGGTTGGAAAGAAGAGTGGCATGAACAAGAGCGTAGCTCCAAAGAGAGTGTGGAGCAGAGGCATGAGTAAGGAGACAGCAAGTGATCTCCATGAGAGTGTGAATGTGACGCTCGGCAACACCATTCTGTTCGGGAGAATGCGGAAGGGTGGAGGTTTGGCGAATGCCATGAGAGGAGCAGTAAGAAGAGAGAGAGAGTGGTTAAAGAACTCGCCACCTCCATCAGAGTGGAGGCGTACGATAGGACGACCAAAGTGAAGGCGCGCCTGCTCAGCCCAGCGAATGATGAGGGAGGGGGCGTCAGATTTGGCACGGAGGGGATAGACAGTGGCAAAGCGAGAGTGGTCATCAACAAGAAGGAGAAAGTAACAATGACCCTGACGGGAGGCAATGGGAGAGGGACCCCCTAGGTCCATATGCACAAGATCAAGGGGTTTGGGGGAGGCAGAAGGGGAAGAAGGATGAGGAGATTGGGACAGCTTGGCCTGAACACAAGGGGTGCATGGAGGAGCGAGAGAGGGGGGAAGGGGCGGGAGAGAGGAAGGGAGATCATGAAGCAGCTTCGAATTAACTATGCTGCAAAGGAGAGGGAAGTTGGGGTCGCCAAGGCGATGATGGAGAAGAAGGGTAGGTTGGGTGAGAGAGCGACAGTCGCAAGAGGAGACGGAAGGGGCAGAAGAGGAGGAAGTGTGATGGACAGATGAGGGGATGGGAACATGAAGGGTGTAGAGGCGAGTAGTAGGGGAAAGGGCGAAACAAGCGAGGTGCCGGTCGTGGTAATGAAGATCACAATAGAGTGCACCTGCGGGGAAGAGCGCTCGCATACCGAGTCGTTGGAGGGCAGGAAGGGATAGGAGGTTATGACGGCAAGAGGGAACATAAAGGCCAGTAACAGCGCCAGAGGGAGAGGCAGGACAGGGAAGAGAGGAAGTGCCTGTGCAGATCATGGTCATGGTCTCCCCAGCCCCATCAATAGAGAGGGGACAAGGAAAATTGCGAAGAACACCAGCATCACGAAAGATAGAGTCAGTAGCAGCACTGTCAAGGACAAAATCCAAGGTGCGAGGAAGTGAGAGAGCGGCAGCCGTAAGGATGGGAAATTGAGAAGCAGTGCTTAGAAGCGGTGGAGAAAATGGAAAGAGAAAGCGAGGATCCATAAGAGGAGAAGCACCAAGGATGCTATCATGAGAGGGCATGGTCACACTGAAGACAGAGACCAGAGAACCAATACCAGAGGTTACACCGGCAGAAGAGTGGTGAGGCTGATGGGACAACGGAATCAAAGCAGAGGAGTGGAGAAGAGGGGAGGTCCAGCGATAAGGAGAGGTGCAAGGGGAGGAAGGGGCAGCGAAGGGAGCGGAGAGTAAGGAAGGTAAGGGTAGGAGAGGTACGGTAGAAGGAGGATGAGGGCGGAAGCGCAGAGGAAGAGAGGTAAGAGTGAGAAGAGGCCCCATATGGGGGAGGGAATAACAATAAAGCAGTCGTGGGGAGAGAAAAGAGGAGGAGGAATAGGGGTGAGGTAGTCAGCTGCTGAGCCGTTGAGGGGAGAAATACGAGGAGGAGGGATGGCAGCGAAGTAGTCTACTGCTGCGCCGATGAGGGGAGACAGAAGAGGAGGAGGGATAATGGCGGGGTAGTCTGCTGCTGCGCCGCCGAGGGGAGAAATACGAGGAGGAGGGATAGCGATGAAGTAGTCTGCTGCTGTGCCGCTGAGGGGAGAAACAAGAGGAGGAGGGACAGCGGCGAAGTAGTCTGCTGCTGCGCCGCTGAGGGGAGAAACAAGAGGAGGAGGGATAGCGGCGAGGTAGTCTGCTGCTGCGCCGCTAAGGGGAGAAACAAGAGGAGGAGGGATAGCAGCGAAGTAGTCTGCTGCTGTGCCGCTGAGGGGAGAAACAAGAGGAGGAGGGATAGCGGCGAAGTAGTCTGCTGCTGCGCCGCTGAGGGGAGAAACAAGAGGAGGAGGGATAGCTGCGAAGTATTCTGCTACTGCGCCGCTGAGGGGAGAAATACGAGGAGGAGGGATAGCAGCGGGGTAGTTTGCTGCTGCGCCGCTGAGGGGAGAAAGAAGAGGAGGAGGAAAGGTGTGGAAGGCGACGAAACACGGACAGCTACCAGCTGCAGCAGATAGGGAGAGAAGAGAGGCGGAGGAAGAGGTGAGAGGGTGGGGGAAATAGAGGGAGAGAGAAGAGGAGGAGGAGGGTGAAGGAGCGGATTGTGGGGAGGAAGTAGGGTCACGATCACCAAGTGGCAAGTAGTAACACGTAACCAGGTGGAAGTTATGGAGGGGAAGGAGGTGGAGGAAGGGAGGAGAGGCACAGAAGGGAGGAAAGAATGAGGAGAGGAGGAGGAGGACGGTGAAGAGGCGGATGGGGTGAGGGGAGAAGGAGGAGGTGGTGCAGAAACGGCAGAAGAAGGCGCACCACGAGGGGAGGGGAAGGCGCCTGCAGGGAGGTGACGCAGGCCGCCCACGAGAGGGTATGGGAGGGTGGCCGCGAGGAGGGAAGGGTGGTCGGGGAGATGGAGGGCGGTGGGCAAAACGCGCGCGCGGGCGCGTCGACGGCGGGACAGCTTCGCACGTCGACGACGGGCACGGCGCGCGACGTGGCAGTGGGTAGGGCTCGCGACGAGGCGGGGCAGGGGGAGGGCGGCGCGGCGACGGGACAGGGTGCGGCGACGAGACAGGGCGCGTGACTAGGGGACGGGGCGCGTAACTAGGCAGGGAGGCCTCGGGCGATGGATAGAAGGTACCGTGATTGAATAATAAGAAGAAATTTCGACAAGGTAAAAGAGTGGCGCGCCGGATGCTAAGACCTAAACCGTACTAAGAGATATAGATTGGGACAAAATGCCAAGGGTTTGGCTCTAGATACCATGTTAAGGCTGAGAGTATGGTAGCCATGGCTAGGAAGAGAGAAGGTAGCGAGAGAATTGGTACTAGGAAAGAGTGTCGAGATACAAATGTATGAAACCCTAATTGAACTTAGGGTGTGTTCAGTTTGTGCTAGAAACTAAAAAATGAACCTAAACTGAACCAAAGTGTAAATCGCTATAAACATGGCGAAATAACAACATACTACTAGGATAAATGCCAGAGCGAGCTCTAGCCTACTCCAACACACAGTGTTCCCCCTGGCGAAGAAGTCTGAGGTGACTTCTACGCTTATCAGGTGGTTGCTTACCACTGAGGGCACTCGTGGTCGTCGTGTTAGCTGTCTTCACTCTGACCGTGGGGGTGAGTTTTGCTCCGGCATTCTCGCTGGATTCTGTCGCGAGTAGGGCATTCGTCAGTCCTGGACGCTTCCAGAGTCCCCACAGCAAAATGGGGGTTGCTGAGCGCCGCATAGGCTTGGTCATGGAGATCGTCCGCACCTCCTTGACTCACGCCCGTGCCCCCCATTTTCTGTGGCCCTACGCGGTTAGGTACGCCACTCACCAGCTGAACCTCTGGCCACGCGTCTCTCAGCCAGAGGCTTCACCAACCAGTCTTTGGACCGGGTCCCCTGGTGTTGCATCGAGTTTTCGTGTCTGGGGTTGCTTGGCTCTTGTCCGCGACACTTCCGCGGACAAGCTCTCGCCTCGCACTGTTCCCTGTGTCTTCCTTGGTTTCCCTGAGGACTCCTCTGACTTCACCTTTGACCACCCTCCCTCTCACTGGTTCTTTGACTCCCGTGACGTCCGTTTCGAGGAGTCCACCCCCTACTACGTCAGTTACCCCAGTCGAGGTCTCCCGGTTCCTCCTCCCCCTCTCTTCCTGACTTCCGCTCCCCCTCCTGCTCCCCCGATACAGCCTCCCCCCCAGTCCCGCCTCGTCAGGTGTGTCCCAGGCTACCCCTCCCCCCTCGGTAGCCCCTCAGGTGCAGCCTCCTTCCCCGCAGACCTCCTCGCAGCCTGCTGCAGACCCTGCGGGAGCCGGTGCTCGTGGAGAGGGCCCTACAGGTGCTAGCTCTGGGGGTGCTGGAGTTGGAGCTGAGCCAGTGGTTGCAGGCGACTCTTGTCTTCCGGGAGCTGGTGTTGGTCCTGCTGACTTTGGGGGTGCTACGTCTCGGGGTGCGGGTGCACCCTCTTCGGGTCCTGCTGAGCCTGGTCGTGTTGTTGTTGGTGGTGCTGACTCTGGGGGTGGTGCACCAGGTGCTTTGGATGGCGGTCGCGGGGCTGCCGTAGCCCCCGACACTACTCCTCCCCCCCACCCCTACCCGACCCGGCACCAGGCTCGTGTTCGTCGTGCTCGTGAGGAGTAGCTGGAGTTGGAGAGAGAGGAGAGAGAGTTGCAGCGGCTGGAGGAGCAGCAGTAGCAGCAGCAGCAGCAGGAGCAGCAGCAGCAGCAGCAGGAGCAGCTGCAGCTGGAGCCGCCGCAGCAGCAGGAGGCACAGCAGCTGGAGCCGCTACAGCAGCAAGAGGAGCAGCAGCCGCCGCCACAGCAGCAGCAGCAGCCGCCGCCGCTGCCGCAGCAGCAGCACCAGTCGCCGCCTCCTCCTCCTGTCTCCGGTCTTCGGGCCCTCGGTCTCCCCTCCCGCTCTCCTTCCTCCTCCCCTTCTCCTCCCGTCTCGGTTCCTCCGCTTCCTCCTCGTGACCCCTACCCGGCTGTTTTCCCTCGTTCTCAGCCTCCGTTGTTCCCTCCTCCTCAGACTTGGGCCTCTCGTCGCTCCGCTCGTGCTCGTCCCTCGTCTCCTGTTCTCGTTACTGACCTTCGTACTGCCCTCTTTCGTTCTAGTCTGCCTCGTTCGTCTCCGTCTCTCCTTCCATCTCCTCCTGAATCGGCCTTCACTGCTTCTCTCTCTACTCCTGTCACTGACTACTACCGCACGTACCGTCCTGTTCTCTCTCGTGTTCTCGCCTCTCTAGTTACCGACCCTTTTGCCTCTGTCTCCTCTGTCTTCGCCCTTAGCGTTGCAGTCACTGAGTTTGCCTCCACTCGCCGCCTTGACTCCGCCACCGGTCTTGTGGCTGCTCCTCCTATCAGTCATCTGGCCGTCGGGGGTGAGTCTTCCCTTGGCTGAGACACCCTAGAGGACAGGCAGTTTGAGCTAGAGTTCCTGGCAGCCGCTTCCCCACATCTCTGTGCCATGCTACTCGCCCCTTGGGGAGACCCCGACGCCCTTGACATACCGACTCCTCACACTTACGCTGAGGCAGTGTCAGGGCCTTGGGCCTCTCAGTGGAGAGCTGCCATGGACGCAGAGATGGCCTCCTACAGATCCACAGGCACCTACGTCGACGAGGTTCCCCCCCCTGGGGCGAACGTAGTTGATGGCATGTGGATCTACACGGTGAAGCGGCCACCAGGATCTCCTCCGGTATTCAAGGCGCGCTACGTGGCTAGAGGTTTCAGTCAGCGCGAGGGAGTTGACTTCTTTCAGACCTTCGCGCCTACCCCGAAGATGACCACTCTTCGGGTGTTACTGCACGTAGCAGCACAGAGAGACTACGAGTTACACTCTCTCGACTTCTCCACTACTTTCCTTCAGGGTAGCTTACACGAGGAGGTCTGGCTGTGTCGTCCCTCTGCCTTCACTGTCGCTTTCCCTCCTGGGACCTAGTGGAGGCTGAGGCGACCTGTCTACGGTCTTCGTCAGGCTCCTCGTGAGTGGCACGACACTCTTCGTTCTACCCTCTCTGACCTTGGGTTCCAGCCGTCTTCTGCCGACCCATCGCTGTTTGTTCATTGTGGCTCCACACCGTTCTTTGTTCTGGTCTACGTCAACAACCTGGTGTTCGCCACTGCTGACAGGGTTGCCTTGGCAGACGTGAAGTCCGAACTACAGAAGAGACACACGTGCACTGACCTTGGTGAGCTGCGCCACTACCTTGGCCTGCAGATCACCAGGGACAGAGCTGCTCGCACCATTACACTCTCACGGTCACACATGGTGCACCAGGTCCTTCAGCGGTTCGAGCTTCAGCACTCCACAGTACAGCGCACACTTCTTGCTGTTGACCACAGACTTAGTGGACCCTTTCGTGACGAGCCGTTTGAGTCTAGTGGTCCCTACGCAGAGTTAGTGGGCTGCCTCCTGTACCTGATGACTTGCACTCGCCCGGACCTCGCCTTCCCTCTCAGCATCCTTGCTCACTTTGTTGCGCCAGGGAGACACCTTCCTGTTCACTGGACGGCAGCAGTGAGGGTGGCGAAGTACCTAGCGACGACATCAGGCGTGGGGCTAGTTCTTGGAGGGCAGCAGCCTGTCGTACTTACTGGTCACTGTGACTCTTCTTACCCTGACGACGCTGAGACTCATAGGTCTACTCAGGGGTACTATTTCAGCTTTAGTTGTGGAGCTGTTTCATGGCGGACCACGCGCCCTTCTTCGGTCTCGACCTCTACAGCTGAGGCTGAGATCTACGCTGGTGCCATGGCGGCACAGGAGCTGCATTGGTAGACCTTCTTGCTCGCCGACCTTCGTGAGCGGCCGAGCTCTGCACCGACCTTGTTCACTAACAACAAGGTGTCGATTCTCCTTTGTCGAGAGCCGCGACTGGAGAGCAGAGTGAAGCACATTAACGTCAGGTACTTTCTTCTGCGAGAGTTGCAGAGACGTGGAGAGGCTCGCTTCGAGTTTGTGGAGTCCGAGGCCAACACTGCAGACATCTTCACCAAGGCGCTTCCGCCTTGAGACCACCAGAGGTGTTGTGTGCACTTAGGCCTTGTTAACACAGTTTCTAGTCATGTATAGGCTTGAGTCTACTGTTTGCTTTGCTTTTACTCTTGCTATTCACACTTGTGAACTCTTGAACTGGCTTGTGGCCCCTGTTGCTTGTGCTCAGAGTATGTGGTGACGTTGTGATCCACCCTGAGCTTTGTTTCTTTGTGACTGGTCTTGTGACCGTACACTTTTGGTTTTGCTTGACACCCCTCACTTAGGCTATCGGGATGTGTCAAACGTTGTAGCCTGTAGTGAGGTTTGTCTTAGGGGGTACACATGTTAGGGTTTGTTATATGTACCCCAACCCACATAAATGAACCAACACTTTCTTTTTTGGCACAGGACTGTACTAACTATAGAGTACCCCATTGCAGACTAGACAAATATAACATTCTGGCACACCTCCATAGACAAATTGGGGTATAATCAGCACAGCAAGCAGTCGCATAATAAGTTTACAAGCACAAGTAAAGCTAGTGGCAAACATAGAGGGCTCGCAAGGAGGAGGGACTATGAGAGGAGAGGAGATTGGAGGCGGCTGCTGAAGCTGCTGGCACACGGATGACTGGAGCAGCTGGCACACTGGCTACTGGGGCAAGGGCCCCGGACTACTGAAGTAATTGGCTCCCCGGCTAAGACGAGCGGCTGGAGCAACGGACCCACAGGCGACTGGCGCAACGGGCTCGCTGGCTACCAGAGCAAGGGCTCCTGGCTTCCTTCGAGCTCGTGTCCATGCTGGCCTTTTGCAACCGCCGCACGGAAATCAGGTTGGCAGCAAGGTTGGGCACCCAAAGCACGTTTTTTAGGCCCACCATTTTCCCATCCGCACCCTCAAACATGGCCTTGCCCATTCCTTTCACCTCCGCTCGCTGCCCCAAAGCTGATGTGACATGCTTCACCAGTGATGGTACGAGTTCAGTGAGCAAGTCCACACGAGGTGTCATGCTATAGGTAGTGTCGCTATCGATCATCCATTAGTCCAGGGAGTGTAGGGTCACTTTTCCCACAGCAGCAGGCTCATCAAAGCTTTCATCCTTCCCTGGTGCAGCCGGTGCTTGCGTCGATACGAAGAAGAATTGGCCCGGGAAGCGATCATCCCTCGACCCGCCCTCGTTGTCTTCGCTCTTCATATTTGCAGCACCACTTCCGCGACCGCCACGGCCTCTTCCTCTCCCTCCTCCCGCTCCTCTACCCTCTTGGCCTTGAGCAAGAACCCATCCTTCAGGGAGCTTGTAGCAATCACGCCACATGTGTCCGCTCTTGTGGCAATAGTGGCACTCGCTGTCGAACCAGCCGCGACCGCGTCCGTAGCTCTTGTCGTCGCTGCCGTATCCGCCATTCCCGCGGCCTCCACTAAAGTTTCTGCCACCAAAACTTCCTCCTCCTCATCCTCTGCCCCTTCAACGGCCATATCT